CCCCCCCCCACACACACACACACACACACGCACACACACACATGGCTCTTTCCTTTTGAGCCTTCCAAGGCAATTTTAAAGTAAAGCAGTGTGCATGATACAACTGTGCCTGGGCTGTAGACACTGGGGACATTTACGAATCAATATTAACATTTGAGTTTTTGCCTTCCTTTTAGTTTTACACACTTGTAACACAATAAGGTCATATACGTGTCGAAGATTAGAGGTGTCACAAGAGTGTAACAAACACAGAAAAGAAGTTGGAGACATAAGGACGACAGATGTTCGATAGGCAAGGAGCAAACCACATCAGAGCACCCACCAACCACCCGTTTTTTTTTCCTTGTTTTCCTTTTTAGGACAAAGATGTGTACTGAAAAAACCAGTTTGCAAACCCGGCACTTTTTGTATCCAAGCCTTTGTCCCAACATGTGTGCCAGTCGCATGTGAGGCATGTAGACCTAATCAGGAATGTCGTAAGGTCCTACGAAAAAGAGACTGCCTTAATCCGGAGACATGCCAGGAATACAGGTTTGTAAACGTCAGCATAATACTGCTAGATGATTTTTAAAAAATTGGCTGTTATGTCACGACAAAGAATATAATTTCTTTTACGTTTTAATTTGTTTTTATTGTTGGCAAGTTGACAAACTGGCCTCTGTAGTATAGCGGTTAAGCGCTTCGCCGTCACACACGCAGAAAACCTGAATGGTAAATTCTTGTTAAGTATCTTGATCTTTCTACAAGACATTGAATCCCTCTCATGAAGATTGGCCCTGACTAGCAGGGTAAAAGTTGACATCGTAAAATGGACCTAAATTTGTCAAAAAGGCGGAAGGCGTAAAAGATTTATATTTAAAAAAGAACACAGTTGGCAAGAAAAGGCTCATTCATGTACAATTTCGTCGAGGGGAAGAAAGGGAGAACGAGTTGAAAAGGGGGAAGGTAGGGGGTGGGGGATACGACTTTGTATAAATGCACTCCAAGAGAACGCGCAGAAATGGGTGTGAAAAATGCAAAATAAGAAAAGGACACACTATGGAGCTTTTTTCTGTGGCTTCTTTTCTTCTTCACTTAAGAGAAAAAAGCGGAGAAATTTTTTAAAAAACTAAGTTTGATTTGTGATAAGGGAAAGAAAGGTCACAAAAGAGAGAAAGAGGAAATTAAAGGAGAGAGGGGGGGGGAGGCGATTTAACGGGACGAGGGGTGACCGGGAGAAGAGAACGAAAGAGAGTAAGGAAAGAGTGAGGAAAGAGAGAGAAAAAGATGGAGAAAGAGAGAGAGAGTAAAAAAAGTGCAGAAACGATCCTGTCTCCTCGGCGGTCACCTGCGAAATATAACACTTAACAAAATTTTTAGGGGAACACACGCACGGATAAAAAATTTGACAACTCGTCAAAAAATATTAAAAGGGTTTGATCTGTCGAAATTTTGATTCAAATCTTTTTTTGCCATCACACAGTCAAATTTTGAACGTGTATTGGCCCCTTTAAACACACACTAACACACACAAACATGTGTGTGTGTGTGTGTGTGTGTGTGTGTGTGTGTGTGTGTGTGTGAGTGAATGAGAGTGTATATGTGGCATCGTGATAAAAGCAAGGAATTTAATCATAGAAAACGACATTTTTAGAGATCCCTTGGCCAATTTTTGTTTCCTTCTGATTGATCGTATAAACGATAATAAACTGTCTTGATTGGTACTGTCAAATGCTCTTATGTATTCCACAAAGTTGATTAGACGGGTGAGTTTCGTTCCAGCGACTGCTCGACTATGACACTCTGAGTCTCAATCTTGCCTGTACTCTGTATTCACTCAGTTACTAAATCTAACCTGGTGCATGATTTTGCCTCTTGTCACATTCTAGATATTTCTGTGCCATGAAGAGCAGCGGAGAGTGCAGCGCAGACGCGCCTTGTAGCTTCGGCAAGAAATGCGACAGTCAACCTATATGTGTAGCCATAGAACCACCAGTCCCGGCACCACCAGAGCTATTTCCTGGACAAGAGGCTTCTGTGATGCCAGGTGGAGCCCCACCACCCCCGCCGCCCGTACCTGGTGCACCGCCAGCGCCCCCACCTGGTGGATTCCCGCCACCCCCGCCACCCCCACCACCAGCACCACCAGCACCTCCAGCACCTCCACCACAGAGGAAAAAGCGCTCCACGCAGAGCTTACTATATGATCCCTATTGCTCTACACACAGCTTTTGTGTGGTAGACAACTGCGGGGGTTGCAAAGAGGGTCAGGTGAGATAAATGGGTTGATCTAGACCTCCCTGTCACTGCGCTTTAACTTTTCTACTTTTAAATAAGTAATCAAGGGTTCCACGACACCCAAAAGGGTATAAGCGGTGGATAAAAGTAAGAAAGTAATCAGGAGATTCTAGTGATCTAGGGGTTATGTTGTTTGCCTCTCATTCAATAGGTCCAGGGTTCAAATCCGGACAACGTTGGAATTTTTCTTCTCTAAATTTTCTCCTTTCACATCCTTTCCTGCTTTCTAACCATGTTCTATCGTCTACTTATGCCTCCACTCTCTGCACCCTCTTCCCTTCCCATTGCCCTTTCCTCTGGGCTCCTGACTTTTTCTGCAGCCTTCCTTCTGCTACTTCTCGGCTCCTTCTCACCCTTGTGTTTCATCCTCAACCCTGATCTTGTGGTAGGTGAGATCTAACACCTAGCCTTCTCGGATAACAGCGAAAAATCTCGGAGGTCCTTTGTGCAAGTTACGCACGTTATAGTTCCCTTGGTGGTCCTAAACTCGATAAGAGAGGTTTCGGCCTCCACCCAGGCAAAAGTCAAAATTTCCCACCAACCGGAAAACGTTTAATTTATCCTGCACGCTCATAAGACCTTATGCCGTTGCGAGCGTCGTAAAACACTTAACAAAAAAACAAAACAAAACAAAAATATTCACCGAAATGAAGTGGTTGTTGCACCCCTGACACCCCCGAAAACAAACAGTGGGTCTTTTCGTGGTCTCTGATTATTCAAAAACAATTTTGATTTATCTTTAATATGTGCTTCTGTAAGGATATAGCGTTTTATTAGATAGACAGTGTTATGGGAAAGTTCTGTATTTGATTCTTGCTTGAACGCTCGTTGTTCTCACATTGAACGGGTTGCATCCTATCTGTTCTCGAACATGACGAGGCTTTTTTTATTTTACCTGACCATGAAGGAGTAAAAGTAGAAAGCTGAAATTTGGTACTAAACTTAATCTTTCTCTACGTAGTCGCCTCCCACAGTTACACATTTTGCTATATGTATATGACCCTGAAAAGACCTTGAGAATAGAAGACCCTTTCTTTTTTTCTTTTTTTTTTTAGAAAATCAGACCTCTACCGTTTCTTTGACCTCATCATCACTTTACAAATGCTTTCCTTTTAAATCCTTTTTCAGTTTGGGAATTTTTTTAAAAATCGGACAGGGCCAATAATGGAGAATTCGATAGATGTAGCAACGTTTCATAGGCATTTTCTCGCACAGTTTCTTCGGCCTTTCTTGAAGTGTGTGCTGGCGCGTTGTCGTGCAGCAGCAAAATGACTTTTAGGATCTTTCCTCTGTGTTATTCTTTTATAGCCTCTGGAAAATATTTCTCGCTTGTTAGAATAATCGTCTCCGGTGGCCCTTTGTCCATTTTCAAGATAGTCTGTCCTAATCACTCCTTTTTGGTCCCAAAAAACTGACAGCATCACTTTTCCACTTGATGGCTGCACCTTTGCCTTCTTTGATGTTGGAGACAAGGGCGATTTCCATGGCATAGATGCAATTCTGACTCAGGGTCGTCCATGCATCCGCATCTGAATTTTTTACATCAAAATCTTATCACAGCATGGGAAGCGCAATCAGTTCCATACAGCATGCATCTCCTTAAAAATATCCTGTAGTTGCTTGTCTTGCAAGTACAAAACCTTCATTACTTCCCTGTGCTCAATCTTCTCAATTTTTATGTTGAAACTGGAGAACGTACCCTCATTCTCTTACAGTACGCTGGTGTTAAAACCACTCATTGGAAATTCCCCAAAATTTACCTGCGTTCCAGAAAGATGATTGTAGGCTTCCACTCAAAATTTCAGCTTTGTTCCTTTATTCCTTCATGGTCAGGTAAAAAAAAAATTTGGTATGCCCCTCATAATTTACACAGTGGTTGACTAAACATTCAATTTATTCCCAACGTAGTCACAAGGGACAATCAATTATAATGCATCATGGTGAACCCAGGCGTCAAAATGGTGAAATCGAGGAAATCTGTATTTTTCTGGCTGCTGTGAAATTTTGTTTAATTTATTCAAATTGACCAAAACACCTTTACTGTCCATTTAAAACACTTTTCTGTTGGGATAGTACTGAAAATCGTTCATTAAAGGCACGAAAAAAGTAACTTTCCAGTTCTGAAGGACACTCAGGCTTTGGAAGTCACTAAACTTTGGCAGTTATTTTCTCGCTAATTTTACATGTCATAACCGACGACCCCCACCTCCTTCATTCGCAAATAACTCGACTTCTTTTAAAGATAGATGGGCATTATTTTTTTTTCGGCTAATGAACAGCTTTAAGATTATGTTAATAACTCTGTAAGCCTAAAAATTGACGAGTACCTGATTCCACCCGTCGTGACACATGTTTCTCATCGCCTTGTGAGTAATTTGTAGGCTGCCCTTGTTGAGTTTTGCGTCAAGCGATTGAAGCTTATCTTTGACTTGCTCTTGAAAGTTTTTGTCGTCAGTTCTTCCTGGCTAGATGTTGCTGCATCAGTCCATCCTGGTAGAAGTCTGAAGCGGTAAGATCAAGGCTATGATCCAAGATTGTCATCTAATCTGTCAACTGTTTGAGAAACCTGGGGCTGACACGTTTCATGAAGCGCTGACTTTCGAAGAACGGGAGCATTATCATTTTTACTGAATTTGAGCCTCCGGTTATCATGAATGCACTTTTCGTTGCTGTCAATATTTTTCTTTGTTGGCAGACAAAGGGTCACCTACAATTTGCTGTTCGTGTAGATTTGTATCCTTTTCTTCTTCTTCTATCCCGTGGTAGGGGCAAACGTGGGGGCACCACTGCATACTGCATCTGACACCCAGCTCTCGCCATTTCTCTCTGTCATCTGCTTTCCTCAGATTGTCACCCGTCGTCTTCCCTGTCCACTCTGTGATGTTGTCCTCCCATCTCCTTCTCTGCCTTCCTCTCTTTCTCGTTCCTTGCACTGTTCCCTGCAGGATTGTTTTGGCAAGTCCGGTGGATCTTGTGACAGGCCCATACCATTTTAATTTTCGTCTCTTCTCTGTGGTCAGAAGTGCTCTTTAAATAAACGTCATCACTGGTAGACTCTTGATGTGCTCAAAACATTCCCACCATAGATATTAAGGCTTTCAAATTCTGCAGGAATTTCAGTGCGAGATGTGTTTTTCCCTTACTTGTGCAGTAACTTAACTGTAGCTCTCTCTTCTTTTCACTAAACTTGTAGAGTGTTTCTATCCTCTGTTGTGATGCATCAAGATCTTGGTGTTCAATGTGTGTATCGGAATGATCCATCGTAGTCGAGACTTTCGCTGAACCACTAATACGTTTTAATATGGATTTGGAAAATATTAAACTAGATAATGTATTGAAATATGGCCATTTTCTGTTAATTCTGGGAAGCCCTCGTAGACATTCAGCGCCTGTTAATGTTCGTTTTAGAATATAACAACAAGTGTATATTGATGCACTTTTATAAAATTGTTTTGTTGTTCTTGTAGTGTATATTCGCCTGTGGCTGTCGTCTCTTTACATTTACATTTTGGGTTAACGAAGTCGTGTTGCTGGCATGTTAAGGAACGATCCCTAGTCCGGCGGTTAAGGCACCTAAATCAGTGTAGTTTCGATTCCTTTGTGTGCTAGACTACGAGTAATACCGTGAAACTACACATATCGATTCTCTCAAGTGTTTTTTCCTGCAGATTTGTAAGCAAACGAACATAGAATGTGTGACAAAACCCTGTGACAATCACGTGTGTGTGGAGGACAATGAGTGCGGAGGATGTTTAGATGGTAAGAACTTCTTAACCATTTGCTTTATAACGTTAACGTCTTACTAGACACGGGGGGGGTATTTATTTTATGATCCTCTGAGCTGTTTTTCCAAGAATGATAACAATTAACAGAACTTTTAAAAAATTCAGGAAGCAGAGAGTTGGGGGGGGGGGTGGCAGGACAATATTTAAATACACTCTAGCTAGCAGGATTGAACTGTCAAACATGGTAGTGAAGAACAACTGGTAAAGGAAGAGGTTGACCAACTGGAAGCTACATAGGCACCATCACGAATGAGGCAATCATCCAGGACCTAGACATACTAAGATGAAAGAAACTGGCCTGGGACAGACAAGCGTGAGTCAACTGCTCTTCACCTTGTGTACCTGACGGTACAGGAAAAGAGTAAGTAATAAAATAAGAACACTAGACCCAAATACATCAATGGGCATGGAAAGATAACAAATATTGGGACAATTTGTAAACGTATCATCATGTTCCCAAGCATTTTCCTCTTGGGTTTGATTAACTTTTTTGTCGAGTATTTCAGTCTTTCTGCTGGGATGTTTCATCCCGTTCATCACGGGTTAGCTCGAACAGGCAGGGTCGAAAACCAGCCTCCTAAATGATCTAATTTGGGTCGTTGGGGGCGTACAACACCTACATGAAAAAGAAAACATAAACAAATAAAAACCTCTTTTGAAAAACAGCTTTAAGAATCAAATGTTCATAATGATGAATTGCCGACTGATGACGATGGTATTTATATTTCTAATGTACGTAGATAATCTAAATCTTTTCCATTACAATGTCAAAAATATACAACAACAAAAATTCACAATGCATGTCGGATATGAGTGAAAACTAAGAAAAATAAGATTGTTGTTTTTAGGAATTAAACTTTCTCAAAAAGTCTTAAAGATGGTATTGGGAGGGTAAAACAGTAGAGACAGTAACCGAATTATTGTTACTTTGGCCTTTAATTGTCATTCCGTATATAGTGGAAACGAAAGCTAGAAGATCGAGCTTGTATAGCTAAGCGTATTGTTTCTAGAACAAGAGGGCTTTCCAGTTCTCACCAAAAAATTAATTTCGAAATAGCAAAAAACAAACCATTGCTGCTTTATGGTTCTGAAATTTTGGATATTAAGAATGAATTTGGACGCGATAGATAATGTCTCTATAGTTCTGAGGGAAAAGGGAAGAACTAATGTATGTCTCGATTATATGTGTGGTGTCATTAAACTCCGGAGCAGGCTTATACATTTAGGAAATTGCAGATCGCTAAAGAAATGTTGCTTACAGTTATGTCGTTCTTGTGAATAAGGCATCGTCAACTGGGCTACTGAAGTTAAAACTCGATTACTTTCCCTGGAATTTAGATATGCCTGGTTTTCCTGAAGTGCTGGAAGCACAAAACTATTTCTCAGAGAAGTAAAAAGTAGCCTTGTCGAAAATTGTGTGCAGAAGATTGAAGAAGAAGTGTGTAGTAAACACAATGTATGCCCTCTTACAGTTCCTTTTCAAGAAACAGAATAGTATCTCATCAACCTCACACGTTATTAGATCAGAAGAGCCATAATCTAGTTGAAGACATATAATTTGGCAGTAATAATCTTTCTTTGTAGAAATTAGTAAATTCACTAATACGTAAGATGTGTAACTCAAATGAAATTGAAGCTGAATTTCACTTTATTTTGTTTATTGTTCAAGCTTTGCCTACGAAGGGAAATTGTTCACCCCCCCTCCCAACCCCCTCAATCATCTAACTTAACGCGGTGATTAAAAATATTAATGTTTAACACATGAGAAACTTATATTTTGTACAACACTTAACATTTTAAGGGAATATATTTAACAGGACAGCCTAATTAAAAGATATTGTTAGTGAGTTTTTCATTTTTAATCTTTGATGTTTTCACAGACGTTTCTTCAGTAAAATGTATGTTTAATTGGGATGTGGGCCAATAGCCTTAAACACCGAACTAAATATCTACCGTACCAACCTGTTTAGCTGATGCATTTTGATCTGCGTCAAACTGCAGGCCAGTAAAATCACAATCAATGATAGGAGAATGATGTACGTAGAACTTCCAGGGGATCACCATCTCGATATATTTTATAGCTTTGCCTAGAGTACCAAAGAGTGTGAGCTGTATAGAACCAAAATCCTTATGGGATGATTGTTAACAAATTTGGCGACTAGAACTAGTGGAAAGAATCTTTTTAAAAGTCTTTGACTAAAGATATCTAAACAAATAATTTGGGGCTTTTTTTATAAAGTTTGGCATGATTGGCTGTTTAAACTTTTGAAAGGGCTACACATAGATAGAAAGGTTCTAAGAATCATTAGAAATTTGTTCTGCGACCGACATGCTGCAGCAAAAATTGAGGGAGAGAACAGCGATTGTAAACAGATCAAGTGAAGAATTTGGCAGGGATGTTTCATGTCTCCAGACCTCTTTAATCTAAAAAGTGAAGCTGTCCTTAAAACCATAGAAGAATGTCTAGGTCTCAAATTGAATGGAGAAAATGTCATCAGACATGACCATGATACCGTTTTAATAGCAGATTTTAAAAAGGACCTTCAATTGCCACGGAAAGTGAAGGTAAAGGGTTTATGTTTAATAAGAATGTTTTCTTAATGTAGGTATTTTTTACGCCCCAATGAACACAATTATTTTAAATCATTTAGGGGCGTTGAATGCAAAGAAAATAGAATGTATGGTACATATCTTACAAAATCAGTAAACCCTAGTTGTAATCATACCAGCAAAGGGGATAGGAGTCAAGTTCAGCAGTTTAAATATCTAGGACATATCAATACAACCGACGCACAACGTTAAAGGGCATAAAACAAAGAATGGCACTAACCCAGGACAGGTTCAAAATAATCAATCCAATCCTGCAAAAATATATAAATAATTATATCAATGACAACAAAAATAGAGGTTCTCAATATTTCTATACGGCTGTGAATGCTGGATATACTAAACATAGTGAACGTAAAATATAACAATACAAATATTACTGGTTTCTTTTGAAACTTCTGAGAATTCCACGGAAGGAAAAAAATCAAACAAGGAAGTTCTGAAAGGGGCACAGATGGATCGCTCACTATCTAGAACTATCATGAAAAGGCAAATGCAGTTTCTAGGGCACTTGTTCTCGCTGGAAAAATAGAAGACAACTAATACAGAGGTAGACCCAGAGAAACGTACAAGTATTTGCGAAGTTTGAACAAATGGGTGATCGAGAGATACCAGGATATCCACGGATTTTTAGAGTACTATTCGAGTGGAGAAATGAATGGAGAACCATGATCACCGATGTCTGTTCCAGATTTAGCACTTCATGAAGATGGTGATGACGATGATGATGATGATGATGATGATGATGATGATGATGATGATGATGATGATGACTAATACAGGCTCTCCTACACTTTGATTACAGGAAGAGTTTGCGAACTTGTTTACCCCCCTTGCGCTCCACCAGTTGACTGTTCTGCGCTCCTGGAGCTAAATCCTGAGGCAGAGTGCCCCGAAAGCAACTGTGAGCCTGTACACGCCTGCATTGAACCAAGGCCCGTAATCACCTGTGCCAACGTGCGATGTGCAGCAGGGACAACATGTGAGATGATTGAGCCACCATGCCCCACGGGACAGCCTTGTGAACCACCACGACCTCAGTGTATACCTAACTGTTCTAAGGAATGTCGCCCAGGTTTCCAGTGCGAGAGTCTCCAACCTCCTTGCCCGTTACCAGCCGTGTGCCTGGAAAGTGAATCCCAAGACTGTGTTTCACCTACGTGTCCCAGCTTCGAAAGATGTGCTGACGTCAGACCAAACTCCTGCGATGACCTGAAGTGTCCTGGCGGGACGGAATGCAAGATGATCACAGACACTTGCGGTCGTGGTAAGCTCTGTCGTAAGATGGCCAAGGCGGAGTGTGTTCCCATCTGTAGTCTGAAGTGCCGATCAGGTCGCACGTGTCAACTCACCTCGAAATGCCCATCTGATGGAAGCGAGTGTACGCACCAACAGAGATGCGTACGCAAACCAGGAACGTGTCCAAAAAAATGCAGGCCTGGTATGGAATGTGTCTTGCGCAAACCAAGATGCTCAAGAGGACGAATGTGCAGAGCACGTTACGTGTGCATGCATATCCGGGGAACATGTCCTCGTCTCCCAAGCCAGAAGCCTGACAAAAATTCCTACATTTGCAGGAGAGAGCGTAGACGATATCGTGACTGTGTCAGTGACCACCAGTGTAGAACAAATCATAAATGCTGCACCTCAAAGTGTGATCGCAAGATATGTATGGCAGAACAGAAACCTTGAATTTATGGCCTGATAGTCGTTGAAGGATATCACTTTTTAAACAACGTTTTTGTGGGGTACAATTTGATAAAACGTTGAAGTGTTTCTCTTGTAAGGATTTTTTGTTTGGGTTTTTATTGGTCTTGATTTTGTTTTGTCATGTTTTGTTTTGTTTTGTTTTTATTGAGGTTTTTTTGTTTGTTTTGTTTTGTTTCTTCGAATTTTGTATGTTGGGTGCAGTTATTTCGACACAATTGCCTGTAAAATTGCTCTTACTTTTCGGTTGGCGCTTTCTCTACTCATTACTTAGAAATCTAACTTTTTGAAGTCACCTTCTTATTCTCAGTTGTTGGGTTTTTGTTTTGTTTTCTGTTGTTGCTTTTTTGTTTTTTGTTTTTTGTCTGAACCAAAGTCAAACCAATCGGTACTCCACAAAGCTAAATACAATACCATAATATTACCGAAACGATTTTCAGAAATAAACTTGGTCTGTTGCACTATTCCAAAACTTCTGAGTGCAGTTTGTTTTGTTTTGTTGTTTGTTTGTTTTTTGGAGGGGGGGGGGTGGTATTTTATTATATGAAATCACAGGCTCACATTTCTTGTCATTTCCAGTCGGGGTCGAGCAGTTGTGGATAATGACCCAACAGACGCTGTAAGTAGAAACCTCTTAATTTTAATCCATCTCTGAAAGCACTGAAGCAAGAGAATGGAAACTTACTGGCCAAAAGTACACTGTAATAATCCTCAGATTCCGGCAATGAGGTTGTTAAATAACAAGTTCACTAATAATATTATTAAATAAAGGCAAGGCTATAAATATGGCAAACAACTATGACGCATGGAGCGACCCGTAAAAAAACAAAACAACATTTTATTTCATTTTACAAACAATATTATACTCTGTATAAAAACAATTGACAGTCAGGTTTGGGACATTAAAGATTTCTGTAAAGATTATCTCAATATAGTGTCTGTACTTTGCTGCTTAGAGAAACACTATACACACGCCATATTATGGTGGCGTCGGTAAACTATGGGTTTGACCACCGAACCAGTAGTCGTGAGATTGTGGGTTCGGGGATTCTAGCCTGCGCTTAGTCCGACGTTGTGTTCTTGGTAAAGACACTTTACACAAAGTTCCCATGCGGCTCGGTCGTTTCGGAAAAGGATGTTAAACTCGGAGGTACCAACTCTTAAATAAACCCAGTAGTATTTATAAGGTCTTTAAACCTGTGCAATTTCACCACTTGTGTGTGTGCCTGGAGAAAGGTCCCACTTGCCGGAAATTTTGGATATTGAAATAAGGGCATACTCTTGTAGCAAACCTGATGCTGAACACGCTAATTAGAAAAAAAATATATTGAGTAGTTTTAGAGACATACTACATATTGTAACAAAGGGTGTGAAAAGAAAGTTTGCAGAAAAACAGCTTTAACATTAGTAAGTATGTCGACCAAATTTTTAGCACATTTTTAACCTTTGATAAAGTACAGCAAAATGCGAAAATGACTGATAATAAAATTATGAAATCCTTGTTATTAAAAATGATTCAACACGTGTTTTATGATGGAACAAGATTTTTGACCAGGTAGACCTACGACTTTTTTGGCTTTTTCGGTCCGTTTCTTAAAACTACCGTTAGTGACAACTGGGACATTTTTTAGGCACACACACACACACACTCACACACACACACACGTTTTCCACGTCCTATTATGTTATTATATTATTGATGTATAGCGCTTCCGGTTCCCTTTGAGTAACAGAAGTTTTCAGTCTTGTAAAGAACACAGAACTCGGTTGCTGGAAAGTCGTCAAAAGCCCATAAATGGACACAATTTACTCTATCGTAGATTCCGAATGAAACATCTATATCTGAAAAAAAAAACTGCTATAGCGACAGTCCGCCAACTTTGAAACCAGTAAGGAACAGTCACTACTTTTGTTAGTGCCAAGTTGATTAGCGTTACCACAGACACAATAGTAGTTTATACTCACTATAATGTAGTAGAAACCAGGATCAGAAGGTGGTTTACCCTGCAGAAATTCGCAATGATCGCAGTTGGTTCCAGACGGATGCGCTGGATGCACTTTCAACAGAGTAGAGACATTCGCTTATCTTCGTCGGTGAGACGTAAATTAATGACCTTTGACATGGACCAAGGAAAAAAATAAGAAGAACCATTTCACCTGAAAGCAAAGTCATCCCCTGGGAGCTCCTTCTCTCTAGATATACTTGTATTATGATGTATTATGTACAGCATTCGCTATTGTGCTCTTTTCAGTCGCTCCTACGGAAAGATGCGTAGCTAAACATTGAGACGCCTCAGTAGGCTATCAAAATTCATTTATTGAAAAAAGTCCCTGCCCCTTCTGACTTGTTCTTGTTGTGTTGTTGTTTTGTTTTCTTTTTGTTGTTTGGGGGGGGGTTGTTGTTGTTGTTGGAGGTAAGTGTATTACGGCCCTCAAAACTGCGAAAGGCCATATGAGCACGCGGGATGAATTAAACATTTTCTGTGGTAGGAAATTTTTAATTTTGCCCGGGTGCAGGCTAAAGCCTACTCTTAGCGATTTTGGACCACCAAGGGATCTTTAACGTGAGCAACTCACACACGAGACCTAGATTTTTCGCTCTTGTCCGAGAAGGCTAGGTGTAGATCTTTCCTACCAGAAGATCAGAGGTGTGGCTGAAAGACAGCAGTAAGAAGGAGTCAAGGAGTAGCAGTAGAAAGGCTGCGGAAAGAGGAGCCAGGAGGAGAGAGCAAAGGAGGTGAGGTGGTGGAGCAGAAAGTGGGGATGAAAGCAGACGACAGAATATTGTTAGAGAGCATGAAAGGCTGTGATGAGAGAAAATTTTTAGAGAATACAATTTCCGTCGTTCTCTGGATTCGAGCCCGAGACATTTTGATTGAGAGGCGAACACCTTAACCTCTAGGCTACTAGAGCCCCCGTTTATATTTTTTAGCTATTATAATGTCATAGGTTATTAGTTACCAGCTTACTCCACTACTGAAACATCCTAACATCCCCGTGACTACAAAACTCAAAATGATCAACAGCATACCCTCACCTATCCATGCCAAACATGGACCACGAACAAAACATTAGAGCAAAGAATTACAACATGTCAAATGGGATGAGATACAAAATTAGAAGCCATGTAATCCGAGAAATGGTGGGCACAAATGAAGTCATGCATCACATCTAACACCAAAGAATCAAATGGTTCTGACATCTCCTACGATTACCAACACACCATCCAGCACAACGTGCCTACATTTTAAAAAAATTCGATGGCATCAAGGCTAAAGGGCGACCGAGAAAGACCGGGATAGATGGAGTCAAGGAAACATTAACCACCCACGGCATCCCCCTGACCCAAGCCCTCCGGCTGTCGACAGAGAGACGTCTCTTTCTTCCCGCGACACCCAAAAGGGTATAAGCATCGGATAAAAGTAAAGTAATGTCATAGGTGGCTGCCAAAAGAAACTTGAAAATGAATTCATTCATGCAGCACACCGATTTAAAGTTACATAAATTGGGCATTATCTGACGCATTAATATTGCAACTACGATGAGAGTCGCCTGCGATATTGTCGCTCAAAATTAATCTTTAAACAAATAAGACTGTGCAACATTTTGAGTAGTCAAAGAAACATAGAAATATGTTTGCTCGTGTACTGAGGGGCATTAACACGACTGGTGGAATGGACATGTAATAAACAATACTTTACTATGATAGTTTCAGACAGACTTGATAACAGCATACATACTTATCATAATAATTATATTATTATGCACTGTGCACACAACACATTATGTAAATATACTGTTGTGTCCACTTAACAGAAACCCAGATAAAAGCAAAATAACAGTTTAACGGCAACTTTAGCTTGTGTTGCGGAATTTTCCTAACATAAATAACCCCCTTTAACAGCAACAGTTTTCTCTAACACTGACAGCAACATGTTTCTAAATAGCAACATTTGTTGGTATAATTCGTTGTCTGACCACAATATGGTTTGAAGATTCAAAAACAGTGAAAACGTGTGTATACATCACACGTCTCTTGAACTTTTATCTCCTTCTTGAGCCAAATAGCATCATCATCCAGTGCCTTGCCGACTGGCGTGGGCGATCATGGACCTCCATTTCCCTCTGTCCTGCGTTGCAGCCATGGTGTCTGTTGTTCTTGCGGTTCCCAGCCATGTTGTAAACTTGTCCATATCTTTTCCCTATGTCTGCCTCTGCCTCTCTTTCCATCAAACTTGCCTGTTGTCTCCATATTCTTCAATGCTTCTTTCTGCACTGTGTGTCCATTGAAATTTGCCTATCGCTCGTTTTCGTATTTAATTATTCGTCCTAAGCTGTCGTCTACAATTTGCCTCAACCAAGACTTCTTCATTTGTTTTTCTAGCTGTCCCTGGGATACGCAGCTTGCGTCTTATGAACCACAACTCTGTCACCTCAAATGTTCTTTCCAGCTGTCTATTAATTGTCCATGCTTTGCACGCGTATAATAGGATTGGCTCCATGTAACTTTTCAGTACTCTTTTTCTTGTTTCCATTGACAGATTGATGTTTGTAAGTGTCTGTTTCATTTTGTACAAGGTTGCTTTTGCTTGGCAAATGCGGCTTTTAATTTCAGTGTGACATCTCCCTTTTGATGATATAATGATCCCCAAATATTTAGAATGTTGCACTTGCGAGAGATTGATACTATTGATTTTTGATATTCCAAGTTGGGGTTGGAGTTTTTCTGCTTATCGCCATTGTTTCAGTTTTCTTGATGTTTAGGCTTAGGCCCATGTTGTCACTCTCTTGTACGATGACATTTAATCGATCCTGTAGGTGTTCTTCATCGTCTGCTTTTAGAACTGTTTCGACTGCATATCATAGATTGTATACGATATGTCCCCACATCGAGATACCTGGCGTTTCTTCTATGTGTCTCATGATATTTTCCCTATACAGGGAGAACAAGTCTGGTGAAAGTACACATCCCTGTGACTCTTCTTTTAATCGGTATGTATTCGCTAATGTCGTTTTCAATTCTTAATGCAGCGGTTTAATCCCAGTACGTGTTCTTGATAATTCTTAAGTCTTTTCCGTCAATATTGAGGAGTTCTAGCATGTCGGGCTTAACTTTGTCGAATTCCTTGGTGTAGTATTGAAAGCATAAATGAAGATCTTTCTGAATGTCCCGGACACGTTCTATTTTTGTTCTGATGATGTATATGGTGTCGTCAGTGGCCTATTGGTTAGGCTCTCCGACTCGCAACCGTAAGGTCGTGGGTTCCAATCCCGTCAGGGGCCCGACGTTGTGTCCTTGGGAAAGGCACTTTGCACAAATTACCCTCACTTCACCCAGGTGGAAATGGGTACCCGGCTATAGACAGTGAACGATCTTGTCAGTTTGATAGTGTTTGAGCGCGTGAAATCCGCAGCTTGCACTGTATGCTTCCGCGGAATCCGAGAATGTTTCTGAGTGTTCTCAGAGAGTCTGCTG